CTGCTGCTTGTAGTAGTTCTGTGTAATCATTGTCTTGCAATCCCATGTATGCTGTGAACTTGTACTTCCATTCCTCGAACGTTCCATAGTCTCCATTGAAAAAGGGTGGTTTGAGTTTGTATCTGTTCATGTTCGCTATGTTGGCCGTTGTCTCATCTTCTGGAACTGGAGGAAGTCCCTCTCCAGCTTGAGCTGCTGCTGATTGTGCTGCCATTGTTGCAGCTGTGCAAGCTACCTATTGTAGGGTCAAGGCTTGCTCTCCGTTGTGTGTGTTCGATGGCTTGTGCCTGTTGTTGTATTGGAGCTCACCTGGATTGTTGTTACCAGGATCCTTGCTCCGCTACCATGTAAAATTCAGCAGCTGTTTGTTTGTCGTTTGTTTGCGCACGTCTCTGTATTGTTTCCTCTGGCAATTGTCCTTAGGCTCAAGGCCTCGATCCAAGGTGCATTGTATGGCACCGTTTGTACATGAACAGTACGAGAGTAAATGAACTATTGTAAATGAACTTGTCTCTTGACATCTCTCTCTCTGTATCTCTCCCTTCTCTTTGTTCCATATTGTGTCCTCACGCTAGTAGATGGCACCGTGCCTAAAATAGGAGCAAAAACACAGCCAATTTCACATAATAGATGGCACCGCCCTATCTTTGGACCATACCCCTGTGCCAAGTCACTTTTTGTTCTTGGGGGTGTATACCATGCCTATCGCTCCTGATTTGTTGACATGTTTTTGCGCCATCTGGTTTGACAATAGTGTAATTAATAAACAATGGGGCCGCCTTTTGGATTCTTCCCGCAAGAAGCCCAACGTATGTGCGCCGTTGTGGTGAAGCTGCAGGAAACATGGATTTTGTAATACATGTCTATTATGGCTGTAAATAGCTGAAAACATCAAGGAAAAAGGTGGAGGGAAAGGTAGGTGCAGGTGGTAACATGTGTTAACATGTGGTAACGTGTGTTTTCCATGTGTGCATTGAACATGTCTTTGTCGCACAAGGTATGAAACCTACATGCGTCAATGCCAAGCACCCTCAGAATAGTGTACAGTAAAACAATAGTCACAAACCCCTTTTTCCTTGACATGTGAATGTAATATGACTGCGGCAATCAAATGGAGCTTGAACATGTGGACTTGGCTGCACCTCAGGCAGGTGCCATCTACTTTTTCCTGTCTGACCCCCGAAAAAAGTGCAGCAGAACGAGGAAAAGTAGATGGCATCTCGACGTCGATTTTTGGACCACTCACCACCATGTACTCTGAACCTAGAGTACATGCTACGGCTACGGCCGCTCGAGAGTCGTGTATGCATGTATGTAGATTGAAAATATTTGAACATTGTGTTTGCATACTCTTCTGGATAAGTCTGCGAATGCACGAATGCACCAGCATTGTCTCATCAAACAAGGCAACAGAAAGAGATCCAAAGGTCACAGTACCAGCTGAAGAGGTGTAATGAATTCCCTGCCTTGACCTTACTCTATTGTTCAAAAGAAAGCAACCACACAGTTATAGAATCCTGTTCTTGACATCGCAAATATGCTCAGAAATGCCTAGGTTTATGTGCCTTACTTACAGTATGTAAATGCTGTGACTGAGGTCCAGTACCCCAAAACATAATACAATGCCACCAACCTCTGGGAAAAAACTGCGCACACATCCACGGTCAAACTTACCATGCTCAAAAGGCTCAAATGCTGCAGATGAAATGCATTTTGTGTCATATCTTAGCGAAGTCCTGCGCGTGCCTAGATCGCCTAGATGCTCCTCTTCCAAACTCGACCTCTTCCCCCTTATGGTGCATAGTTGTTATAAGACCTCTTGAGCACCATCACTCCTGGAAACCAGCCTCTGCCGTGTTGCTTGCATAAGTTTTGCCTGCTTTTCAGGGCAGAGCCCGAGACTGAATCAACAGTTTTCAACTTTACAAACAACCCCCCCTCGCTGTGGCCCGCTAGTCGTAAATTCGTCCCAGCTGCCAATGGCACGTGCGGAGGCAAAGTCAAGCCACCTTGGTTGACGTTGGCTAAGGGCATGGGCGGAAATGCAATCTTTCCGCCTGTGCGGCTTCAACCGCCAGGCACAGGGTCGACAAGAAGCACAAGGCGGCACCCCAGTCGACCCAAGCAGCATACAATAAACACCTATATATACTTGAGAAGGGGGGACGAAAGCCAGCTGCCGCTTCATTACGTGGGTCCCTCTTGCGTGGGTCAAAAAGTCTCCAAAGCCCTTCATGATGCTAATGATGCACTACTCGGCGTCCATTACATCACTCGCATCACCAGACCCCATTTTCACTGCTTTTCGGACCCTCGCTTTGGAGCGCTCTCCCCCACCAAGCTCTACGTCCACCCTGTCAAAAGGTCTTGCTCAGCGACCTAGCCTATCGGCTGGCTTTCGTAATATATGCAATATGTGCAAAACAAAAAAGGGGACACAAAAGAATTAACGACAGAAAACTCACCGTACATGACCGTACCCCAACGTCACGGTTCACGAGAGGCTTGTGCACTGCCTTGCGTTCAGTGGGGCCCGTTGGGTTCAGTGCGTTGTAAGCATGAGGTTGTTCCTAGTTTGCTCCTAGTAGCTTCTTGTTACTCGTAGTAGGGCCAGGAGCCCCTAGTAGCGTCCTTGCTCCTAGTAGCGATGCCCTTTGCTCCTAGTAGCGTTCTTGTTACTAGTAGTAAGACCAGGAGCCCCTAGTGCGTTGTAAGCATGTTTGATGATAGTAGCATTAGGTTGTGTCAAGCGACACATTGGTGACGTGGTGCACTTTGTCTTGAGATTAGGTGTGGTGCTCCGGGGCATACAAACAGCTGGCTGACTTTGCCTTGAGCGGATATATAGAGAAGGAAGGTGATTGAATGGATCCAAGGAGGTGCAGCATTCATTCTGGAAGCTAAAACTATCCAAAGCAACGTGCAAAACTCACATGCAGAAAAGAATCAGCAGGCGGATTCTGGCTCGAGGTCGATTTACCACAGCACACAAAGTGCGCATGCAAGCGGGTCCAATCATTAGAAACAGAACCAAGGGTTTGCGGCCAAAGCGATCTGATAGGCGCCCGAACAAGGGGCTAAGGATGAACTCAATCACGCTTCCCAAAGAGTAAGCGGTTGCAAGGCCGGTAGTTGCTTCCACAACTGCATCTTCTCCGTAGGGTTCTGCGGTTTTGGTGATCAATAGCTGTCGAGCTTGCAGCGTTGCAGTTCCTGCACCAGAGATAGCTGCCACTGTTACCCTGAGAGCACGCATGAAGTGCTCAGTGCGGCTTTGATCTTGAGTGTTGGCCATGGCAGCCATCGCCCTGTCCGAAAACTGAGATCTGCGGTGCAACACACTTGCACTGTAAGCAGCTTGCAGCCAAAAAAACTGGTTCATCAGCATTCATATTCCAAACCTGACCGAGACGAGCATGAAACCGCCCAATTTTATACTTGGTATTTTTGGGCATTCCTTGGACCTTGACTTGCTTGAAGCGCTCACAATCACAGAATGACACTGACTGCTTCTTGAGGACTGCCCTTGGTTTGCCCCAGTGAAACGTAGACCTCAATAACATCCTGGACAAGAAGCAAGGTCAAACATGGCTTCGCACTTCCCAATTGCTTGCACTTGATGTCTTGAACTTTAAGCTTTAGGACATGCTCTCGAGCATCACCTGGAGCTTCTATTTAATTACCGTCTGAGGCACTGACACTGAGACTATTAATCATAGTTATATACAGTGCCTCCATTGTCCTAAACTACTGTTTCCGAAAAGCCTCCAATCGTCAGCCTGTCGCGATACGATCGCAGTCCCATAGTGGCTAATCGCAGGAGCATACGTGGCCTTTCATGAACAATTAGTTTGTTGAACATATATGGACATATCATGACATATCACATATCGCATCGTAAAAAATCACTGCAATACACATCAAGAAGGTACAAAACAATTAGGAAACGGCTATAGGCAATGGGCAAGGAATGGCAAGGATCCTTCCCGGAGGCGCGGCCAATCGCGTTCTTTCCGCGCACCAATCGTGGATATTCTGAATGAAGAGAAGTGAAGCAGGAGAGGTCTAGAGTCTAAAGTACAAGCATGACATTAAGGTTAGTTACAGTCAAATTTCATTGGTAGCCGTACCCAAAGGTCCACCACCAAATGCAGTGTACATCCCAGAAGTTTAAAATCACCACATTGTTCTTCTCACTAAAACTGTCCCTCAAAGTGAATGTCTATTCTATACATCCCTTGCCTACGTGCATTTACGGACGACCCTCAGCAATGATTTGTTCAAGAGACGTGAAACAAGTTTCATACTGTGTTCTAAACAACGCCATGCTTTTCCGCTTCACACCACCTCCAGACCTGAACGAACGTTTCTGACAGCTTCGGACCACGTTCTTGCGTTCCAAAGCAAGTAGACAAATGCCTGGCCTTTGAATGAAGGATTGCAGGCACACACCTTGAAATTCCGGGTGCTTGACTTCAGAGGGTCCAAGACTTTGGCTGCCAGACAGGAGCGTCATCAGTAGTAGTGAGTAGCTACAGATTCAATCAGAACTTTGCTGTTGCTTTCACTGCAAGTCCAAAGTGCTTATTGTCACATTGTCACTTATCGCCGTAGATCTTGTTGGATCTTCTTGGGCCACAGCTACAACGCTCCGTACCAGTAGCTGCTAGGCTGTCTCAAGTGGGCGGGAAGTATTTAGCCCTAACTGGCCACATGCAGAAGCCCAGTCCCGACCAAGCTTTGTTGAAAATCGAACAGTGACGTTTGGCGCACCCAAGCGTCGCAGTGTATCCCTGAAACGTTTGCATGTGCTGTCGGATGGGGATTGAAACTGATATGCAGCCCCGGCATTTGTTGAATTGTATGGAATAAGATTGATCCCAGCACATCTTAACTTGCGGGAGCCAATCAGGCTCGCAAGCATGGATGCATGCTCAGTTCCGTCATTTACACCTCGAATGAGTATGTACTGAAAGAGCACCCCAGAACCTGTAGACTCTTCAAAGCATTTCACTGCAAACAATAGACTTTCCAATTGCCAGGACTTTGCCGCCACTGGCAGAAGCTCTTCTCGCAACTCTTGTGAGGGAGCATGCAAAGAGACTGCGAGGCGAAGTCCATCGGGTGCATCTTTGGCCAGACTCTGGATGCGAGGCACGACCCCCACGGTGGAAATTGTGGTCTTGTGATCTGAGGCACACAAGAGTCGAGCTGCACCAAGCACATTGGAATAGTTCAAGAGAGGCTCGCCCATGCCCATAAAAAACAACATTGCTTTTCCCAAATATACCTTCCCGCTGCAACCACGCTTGAGCATAAAGAACCTGCTCAAGAATGGCCCATGCTGGTAGATTGATACCACCAGTACCACCCTCTGAACCTAGTAATCCTGTGTCACAAAAGCGGCAGGCCATAGCACAACCGGCCTGAGATGAGACGCAAATTGTAGCCTTGTCTTCTTGGCGTGAACGTCCAAATTTAATGATTATTGCTGTTTCTACCTGCTTTTGACCGGGTAGCGCAAGGACAATTTTGCCCCCACCAAGTGCTGCCCCACCATCATGGCGAACCAACTTGCTGCGAATGCTGCAGCCATGCTGGTGCATGTAGTTCAGCATAGGGCACGGAGGTCCCAAAGTCGTTGCCAAGCTGCCCTGATCCTGGTTTCGGCAATAGAACTCTGCATGTCTGAGCAAATGCCTCCAAAAGTCAACCCGTGAGGATTGAAAACCTTTGGCTGAAGTGTGAACTTCAGCGGAATGGAGGCACACTTCGTCCAATATGCTGGACGCACAGAACAACCTTTTCAGGTTGTGCCCTAAGCATTTCACGCTGGGCAGAAAATGCGGAGAACGCGTGAGGTAACTAAGCATGAGCCCAGACTTGAGCAGTGCATACAATGGATCACAAAGCACACACACAAGTCAATCTTGCTCAAGGCAACTTATTCCATCAAGTTCATCAGGTCATCAAAAAAGGCTCTGCTCCGCTCCGAAGATCTCCGAAGATTTTATCCCAGATTCTAGGTCTTCTGCATAGTTAACAGCAAACCTTTCCCAGGATTGAAGCCTTGGCCAGCTGGGTCTGTAGTCCCTCTCTGATACAGCAACCCATCATCTCCAAACATCTTATTAAGATCCACCTTTTGAAGGAGGAGTAGCTGCCTTTGCCCATTACCAGCCATGCAAATGTTGGAAAACGCAGCACCGGCGCGAGTTTAAGACTTGGGCTTTCTTTTCTGACTTTGATTCTCTTTCCACGGATTGCTTCCAGCTCAAATCCTACCAATGCCAGCCGAGAGCTTAAGCAGCAGAAACCGCATGCTCATATTGGAGTCCTGTTTCGAACAGGAATGATGGCAAAAAGCCCAAAAGTGGCTTCTCGCGAGGATCTCTTAGCACATGCACAAAAACACCTGCGAGCATTGGCACTGGAGTAGAGTTGCAGCTGCTTAGCACATTAAAGAAGTCGGAACTCAAACTTTAAAGCATCTAAAGCAATCTATATACTTTTAACATCAACTTTAATCATCTTTAATTAAAAAACAATAATTAGTCAAGATCCAAATAATCCGCGATCTCGAACAAACAAACCTACCACAAACCCTTTTGGGCTTGCAACCCGCACCTGTGGGCAAAAAGTCACCCACCTGCCCATCAAACCACATGTCTGAGGGCAAGCGTTCAAGCGCATCAGGAGCGCGGCTTTCCTCCTGACATGAAAGAAAAAAACATGGAAAAACGAGCTGAAGGCTTTGCAGCTAAAGCTTTGCAGCTAAAGGATGCTAAAGGTGAACAATTGTAAAATGGTCCACAACGCTCCTCCTTACTAAGGCGCGGTGGGCGGGACAAAGACCCAGAACGTCGGGTTAGCCAAATGGCTCCGTTCTGACCGACCTGTGCACCAGCTGAGCTCAGCAAGACGCCAGCTGAGCTCAGCAAGAAGCTGTTTAAGAAAACTTGACTGACCTCGAGCACGCGTGACTGCACCAGTTCCTCCCTAAAGAGGACAGCCTCATCGAGCAATCTGAGCTTTCCGAGCTTCGTAGGGCAGCGAAAGTTGTGACCTCCAAGTTACTAGCCTTCTTGTTACTACTAGTAAGGCCCTTGCTCCTAGTAGCGATGCACTTGTTACTAGTAGCCTTCTTGCTCCTAGTAGTAAGGCCAGGAGCCCGTAGTAGCGTTGACTTTCCTAAAACATCCTGGCCTTGAGAGACTTTCCTGAGAATCCATCTTCCAGCTCGCTGAGCTCCAGTTTAGCATCCCTGGGGCATCGAACATATCGTGGCTTTGTAGTCATTTGTCTCGTCTCTAAATTAAGCACTGTGGTCTACACAGCAAAACGCCAAACAGTCTTACGCAAACTGCATTCAGCACTTTGCACTTTTTGAAAGCGGTTTGACTGACAACATCACAGCATCTGCTGCGTAGTTTGCCTTGCCAGCTATTTACACTGTGACTTCTTCGAAGTCACTCACATGGACTCATCATCTACCTCAATGAGTTGTTTGAGAATGCTGAGACGTGTTGTCAGCCAAGCCTTTTGGTTTGGCTTCATCACAACATCCTCCATGGTCTGCAGTCGCTGCATCTCTGCTCGTTGTTCCTCCAAAGTTCGGTTTCGCTGCTTTTGGAGGAAAAACTGCTCCTTAAAGTTGCAGCCGGTTAGAGTTTTGATCTCGCAATTGCCTGAAGGAAAAAGAGGATTATGTTCATCATCTGCATCTACATCATCTTCATCAGGGGCTCCCAGATACTTCGGGAAAAGCCTTCGAGCCCATTTTCCCGCTGCTTTTGCAACCTGCAAAGCTTTGTCCCGGGCCTTCCTGACAACTGGCATGACTGGGCACTTGGAGTCCGCCGCCGGTGCTTCCTCCGTCCCTGCATTCGCACAAGTCTCTGGGTCTCCTGAGCCTTCTGACTCTGCTACTTCGTCTTCGGTTTCATCTTCACTTACATCCATTTGATCTCCTAGCTTCCCCAAAGCTACCACTCCAGCATCTTCTCTGCTGACCCACTCTCCATCTTCGACCTCGATAAAGCCCTTCAGCATGGTCTTGTTCAAAATATCTCTATGTGGATATGCATCTGAGACAAAAGCAAAGCACTGGCCATCCATATTCCTGCTGAATGCACTGATTTCAGCAATGCGCCACTTGCGGAAGCGTTGGCAATAATACATGAAGTACTGGCCAGATGCTTGCCAGTAGGTCTCCCGCCCTTGCATCAAGAAGTCAGAGTTGGGGCCCTCCAAGTATTCTTCATTGAGCATCACATTTTTGAAGCCTCCCAATGACACTGTGCGAAGCTTCGCACTGTCTTCAAATGGCATGTCTTCTGGCCAAGAAGGAATTTGGTATTCTGATGGAAATGCTCCGCCCCCAAAGCCCTTGGGGCAAAAGCTTGCACATCGCTGGAATGAAAAACAAATAATGCTAGCGCCAACAGCTTGAAGAAAACCCATGGCAAAGCACAAATGCCAAAGATGCAAATATGTTGAAGATATGCTAAAAAACACAACATTTAGCAAACATGGTTCAAATGAACTGGAAAGGCTGCTTGAAAAAAACAACATCAATATACAAATCATCCTTATCTTTCTGCCAAATCATGCAAACATTGTGATTGCCAAATGCCACTCAACATCTCCTGTCAACCTGCAAAGGGTCTGTGCCACACAAAGCAAGATAGCTGGACAGTTCTTTGCTTAACACAGTGAAGCTTGCACCCGACACCTATCTTGTGCAAAGGGCCACACCGTTCTGCTCCAATGTCAATGAAGGCAAAGCTCCTCCAGACATCCCTAGCAAGAATGTGAACCAAGCAAAAGCAAGCAGTCTTTCGCTGAAGATACATCACTCAAGCTACTAGCAACCCCCGGCATGGATTGCTACGGGCCAACATTAGCAAATTTGGGTTGTCCAGGCTGGACCCATACCCCTAGTTGCTGGAAGACCAAACTTGATTTTGTGCGCCTCACGGGGCCTTCCACCACTTGGCCCACCTTCAGGGACATACAAGTGCGAAGAGCCAGAAGAGATAAGTGAACACTTTATATAAAGACTTTGGATGACTTTAAATGATTTAGCAAGTACTTGGACTCAACAAGGTTGCACAAGTTGCACCAAACATTGCAGCTTGTCTGGGGCTCTCCAAGCCTCCAAATTGAGAGGGTCATGGTGCGCGGACAACGCTTCAGCATGCATTGGTCTCACTGTCTCTGTTGAGTCTCATGACCCCAAACCCAAACACTACTCGGAACAGTATACTAGTAGCTCCTGGCATCGCTACTTGGAACCCGGGCATCGCTACTAGTAGCACAAAAAGATATCTTTAGCTTCTTGTTGCTACTAGTAGCGATGCCCTTTGTTACTAGCAGAGAACACCGGCCTCAAATTGCCGAGCTATGTGGGGCACGGGTGGCAACTCATTCGGTATCACAGGCCTCTGTGCGAACTTTGTCTCAAAATGTCTCAAGAGATCTTAACTGAGATTCACCTCACACGACTGGCCGCTAGTAGCTTCTTGTTCCTAGTAGCAAGGATGCTCCTATTAGTAGGGCCAGGAGCCCCTAGTAGCGTCCGTGCTCCTAGTAGCGATGCCAAGAGCCCCTAGTAGGCCTCTGGCTCAAAGGCCTTGGCCTGAGGGAGCGTTCAGGGTCCCCAGGACCGGGCTGCCACGGCCACGTGGGGTCCGGTGTCTACAAAGGACCCACCCCCGTGGGTCCACCCAGTGTCTGAGGTCATTTGTCCTTTTCGTTCGCCCACGCCGTTGGTTCCTCATGGCGGCTTTCCCTTGGGGAGCTTCTTTGCGTGATACTGAGCTGGATCGTAAAGTGAAGGCCGTGTTCAACCAGTTCCCGGACTGCTCCACTTGTTGGACAATTGGCTACCGCAAGATGGTGGCCTTGACAGTGGACGCTGTACATGCGGACAAGATCCATGGTTCGTTATGTACCTTCCACCATCGGACAGGTCTACATTGGGATGGGCACCAAGCCCATAATGCAGCTGTTCGGGTTCCTGGCCTTGACAACAGGTATCCTCTCGTCTGCAAGGATGAACGAATTCTCGTGGTAGGTGTTCTCAAGCACCGCTCAGAGGATGGTTGCATGATCGAGTTTCAGAAAGGGGCGACAATTGTTCACTATCCGGCCATTGCTGCCGAATTCCACTGGAACATCCTGCATCTTTTTGCAGGAGGCTATGGTGGGTGGGCTCAGGCAGCCGAATGGCTGCAGTCGGACAACATTGGCTTCATCATCGACAGACACGTGTTTGTTGATTGGGATCCGAAGGTGGTGCGAACTTGCGCTATGAATCACGATGCGCTGGTTGTAAAAGCACCCCTTGAGCCATGCAGCGAGTTCGTGGTCCGCCAGCAGATCATTGTGGAATCTGCTGTATCCGACCTTACAGTCCTGCACACGGTCCGGATGCCCTTCAACTTGGTCGCCACTTTGAGCCCACCGTGTGTTTCATGGTCCAAAGGTGGTGCTGGTGGGGGATTGGACTCCACCCACGGTCTTGCTTTGCTTGAAGGCATTGAAATGCTTTTCGCAACCCAGCCGGTTGCGGCATTGTTTGAATGTGCTGATGAGATCAAAGCTCATCATCATTTTCCGGTTTTCGGTGCACTCATGACCTTGTTAGGTTTTAAGCAAGCCTGGGAGCAAGTGATTCCCTACCATTATTTGGCCCACCATTACAGAAACCGTTGGCTTGCCCTCTGGGTTCGCTCTGATGTCCCGGCGACTGAGGTTACCAACCTGTTTAAACTTATGGTTCCACCCATTGTTCCATGGCATGATGCACGATATACATTTTGCCTGCCCCAGGAAGTGCAGCACCAGCTCAAGCTTTCACCGGACCAATTCTTGACGTATGGTGAACTCCAATTGCTGCCACTTGGAAAGCGAGCAAGGGTTCAACCATCAGTTACTGCTTTGCAGGTTGCTCGTGCCCGGATTCCTTTGCCACATGAACCTTTAGCTACCTTGTGCTCTTCGTATACACAGCAGCACAATCTTGATCGCAACCATCTTCCACGCAAGGGTATCTATGCCAGTCTCATTGAGCATGAAGGGGAATTCCTTTTTCTCGACCCGATTCGTTTTGTCGCGTTGTTAGGAACGGTGACTGATATAGCGATTCCACTCAATTTGACACATGCCTTTCAGCAGATTGGCAATGCCATCAGTGTCCCTCACGCCCTGCTTGGCATTTTGGTCATGTTGTCGTCCATCCCCAAGCAGTCTCTTCCTATCCAAGAGTGCATTCGAAAGTGTTGGTTGAGCCGCATCCATGCCGATGTCACCGTCCTCATTGTCGAAGGGGACTACGTCTGGATCCGGAATGTTGCGCAGTTCGTTTTGTCCTTGCCGAAGCCCAGGTTCCATGTCGTTGCACCGAATGCCAGGGTGACTTTCCTTGAGGAGGTATTCCCCATTGAGATTGGGTGGCGCCTGAATTTTCCGTGAGCTTGGTGCTTTGTTGTTCCAGTTGCAACCACATCTCATGATGCAGATCAGAGTTGAACATTTCTCAGCCACGCCAGCACCCACCGACTTGGTACTGGAGTTCCTTGCTCATGACAAGGAATGTGATCTCTACCTTGGTGGTTACCATTTGTGCTTGGTGCAATGGGTTGAGCCTTCAACGCCCACTCTCCTTCTTGATGAGCAGGATGATGCCTTGGGCCCACCATCCTTGGCTGGGGGTATACCAAGTTTGCCCTTTGGGCCTTTTGACCCTACCGACTTGCTCTTCACCAAGGCTATTGAGAATTTGGAGAACCTCAACTGTGTGACATCTTATCCAGGCAGTACTTTTGTCATTGTTGCCGGTTCCAATCTTTGGGCATATACTCCCTTCGATGGTACGGAATCTCAATTTACTACACGCATTCGCGCAGCTTTTAGCTCCCTTGTGCCTCAGGAACGTGCTGTGATTATTCGCTTCACAAGAATTTTCGTTGGAAGACGGGAACTCGTGGATTTATTTTGCGTGACCGTGACCAAGAAGGCTTTGACGACAGTGCCACCGTCCTTCATGAGATCCCTCTCCCAGTTGGCACCTCTGACTTTGCAGTTGTCACAGGCTCCACTCTTCGATCCACATGCCAGCTACACAATGGTTTGCCCTTTGAACCGGGTGTGGTTCCCATCGATGGAGATGTATTTGTCCTTCCGCACCACCAAGTCAGAGCTGGAGGGGTGCATGATGTATGCAAAAAGAGATGTGCCCTTCTTCCTGGAGCTACATTTGGGGAGCGGTGTGAGTTTGCGGCCAACACTGATGGATGGGCTGCGACAGATGAGGTTTGGCACATCACATCCATCTTCAACTGGTCCACTCCGAACATTCAGTTTCTTGTCCCTGTCTTTTGGGACACTCGGATCAATGAGCTTGTACCTTGTGATGGTCAGCAGTTTGGCTTTCCGAACAACACCATCTCCATTTTGCCATTGTTGATCGACAATCACTGGGCTGGAGTTGAGGTGATTCGCCTGGCCGAAGTCATTCAAGTTTTGCTGGTCAGGTTCCGTCGGAACTGCAAGTGCGCCTGCACCAGATTCTGGCAAAGATCTTTGATGTCAATCCTTCGCACCTCACAGTTACGGAAGTATGGCCTGAACAGATTTTCAACTTGTGTGGGTGGACACTCTTGCAGCGTTGGAGTGCAATGCTCCCGATTGAAGATTGGAGTGATCCTGTTGACCTCACTGCCATTCCTCCGGCCAAACTACAAGCAATTCAAATTGCAATTGAGGCTAGCCAAGAGGACTGGCATGCTTCGGGCGCCAGTCCACTGCTCATTCGCTTCGCATCGCAGTGCAGAACCCGGGTACTTGCATTTCTTGCCAGGTCTACCACAGCAGTGTCTTCGGCTGTCACGATGCCATTATCTACCAACGTTCATTCGATTGAGATTAACCCGGATGCAAGAGCTGCCACTGTGTCCCCCTTCTCCGGGGAGACACCGCGTCACTTGCTCGACTATCTCAATCGCAGGCTCGAAGACTTCCGCTGCGAGCCCACCTGGGCTGCGAGCGATGAAATCGATTTTGCCCTCGACCTCCTTCGACCGTATGCCTCCCATACATTGTTCATCAATCCGCTTGTGTGGGACACACAGTCTGCAGCCTTTCGGTCTATTTCAGGTGTCCAAGTGCCACTCACTGGATTTACCGACATTGTTGTGCCTCTCCGGGTTGGACGTCATTGGGTACAATGCGATGTTTTTGCGCACGGGCAGACTCTTTTCGTGCTGTTCACCAATACGTTGCCTGAGTCTGTCGATCCGCAGCATATCGCTGATGCCTTTGCACGT